CTCTCTCTCTCTCTCTCCCTTCCTCTCTGAAATCAATAAACATAAATATATTTTAAATGGTACTATCGCTGGCAGGCTTGGATTTTAGTAGAAGAAGCAGAGCAGGGCTTTTATTTTATCATACTCAGATGAACTAAATCCAGCAATAGAATTCTGCATTAGGGTGGGGGCAACATCCAGTCAGTGATGAAGCATCCATTTGCCTACTTTAATCACTGAATTCCTTGGGTATCTATCAATAATAAGATACCCACCAAGGTAATAAGGATTTATGCATTCTAAGATTTGCAGCACAAAAGTCTCATTCTAACCGGCTCATAATCCTCAATCCTTTCCATACGCAGTGCACATTCAGTATGTCATTTTTCAGTCTGATAAGAGACATACATAACATTTGAATGCAGTCCCTACCCTTTTATCCTCCTCTTCCAAATATCATCTGAAACAAATCACAACCATGCCTCTTCTTCCTGAGACAACTAATCTGGGGTACCACAGGACAGCAATTTTCTAAGTATGCTCCCCATGCTAAGAAAAAAAAGCAGAATTAACAGCCCATAGAAACTTGTTCAAAAACACAAATTCTCAGACTCTATCCAAGTTCAATTGATCAGAAAATGGGGGTGGGGTGGGGTGAGGGGTAGGCAATTGATCAGAAAATGGGGGTGGGATGGGGTGAGGGGTAGGAGTAGGCTGACAGCTGAGCTTCAGGGTGATCCTGGTGTACAATAAAGACTGAGAACTGGAGAATCCAAGATGGCTGCACAGGTAGACACCTAGCCGCAGCCGCACACAACAATTTCAATAAATACAACTAAAATATAAAATGGACATTACCCAGAACTACAGAAAAGTTGACTGACTGGAAATTCTACAACGAGAAGCAAGGAGAAAACCAGAAGGAAGAGCGGAGGAGCTGTAAAAGCCTAAGGTACGGAGACACGCGGAGCGCAAGGAGTGAACGGAGCCGGAGAGGAGGGGCGGCTGAGTGCCTGGCTGGCGTTCCCTAGCGGGAAGGAGATAAAAGCTACGACTGTGCTGGGCCCCAGTTCCGACTGCTCTGAACCCCAGTTCTAGGCCAGACCCTGGGGACCCAGGCTCATCCATAGGGAGCTGGGCTGTAAGGCGGAACCCCGAGAGAGCGGCGAAAGTAGGTCCCGGAGGCGCACACATTGTGCGCAGAGAAGGGACCATTGGCTGGGCTGCGGGATTGCCCTGGCGGGAAGGAGACAGGGGCTCCGGACTGTTCTGAATGCCACCTCCAACTCCACTTCCAACTGAACTAAACCCCAGTTCCGGGCTCATTGGGGGAGAACCTAGACTGTTTGGTAGCAGGCGAAAATCGAGGGCACCTTTCTCTCAGAAGTGCTTGCAACGAGTACTGAAGGACCCTGGGGATTACTGCGACTCAGGAACCGCATAGGACGGGGCTGATGGAAGCCAAGGCTGTAGGCTCCACCCTGAAACCCTGCCCCATAAGGGAAGCTGCGAAAATGCCGAGACAACGAAATAGATCACAAACGAAAGAAATGGAGGACAAAAAGCGACTGGATATAGAGTTCAAATCTACACTTATAAGGTTTTTCAAGAATTTCTAGAAAAAGTCAATAAGACCTATGAGGATATGAAAAGGGATCAACTAGAATTAATAAGAAATCAACAAGAAATGATAAGGGATCAACAAGAAATAAAGAATACATTGTCTGAAATAAAAAATATTATACAGAGTCCTAAAAACAGAATGGAAGATCGCAAGAATCAAGTCAAAGATTTGGAACATAAAGAGCCAGAAGACACTCCTCCACAGAAGCTAGAAGGCAAAAGAATCCAGAAAATTGAAGATAATGTAAGAAACCTCTGGGACAACTTCAAGCAAACCAACATCAGAATTATGGGGATCCCAGAAGATGAGAGAGAGCAAGATATAGAAAACATACTGAAAGAAATAGTGACAGAAAACTTCCCCCACCTGGTGAAAGAATTAGACTTACAAGTCCAGGAAGCACACAGAACTCCAAACAAAAGGAATCCAAAGAGGACCACACCAAGACAAATCATAATTAAAATTCCAAGAGCAAAAGACAAAGAGAGAATATTAAAAGCAGCAAGAGCAAAGCAGGTAGTTACCTATAAAGGAGCACCTATATGATTGTCAGCTGATTTCTCAACAGAAACCATGCAGGCCAGACGGGATTGGCAAGAAATATTCAAGGTGATGAATAGTAAGAACCTATAGTCAAAGATAATCTACCCAGCAAAGCTATCACTCAGAATTGAAGGCCAGATAAAGAGCTTCACTAATAATAATAAAAAAAGCTAAAAGAGTTCATCACCACCAAACCAGAATTATATGAATTGCTGAAGGGGGTTCTTTCGGAAGAAAAAGTAAATAAAGATAAAAATTATGAACAACAAATACGTAACTATCAACAAGTGAATCTAAAAACCAAGGAAATTAAAAAAAAATTATGATGAACAATATTAACTGTTGAATATAATAGAATCAGAGGTATGGAAGGGGAGTGAACTGACGATTCTTGGGGAAAAGGGGAGAGGGGGATGTGGGAAGAGACTGAACATAAACTTTGCACCTATGGATGAGGACAATAGGGGGTGGGAAAGGGCAGAGGGTGGGGTGGGAACCTGGTGGAGGAGAGCAATGGGGGGGGGGGAGCATTTGTAATAATATGAATAAAAATTTATTTAAAAAAAAAAAAAAGGACTGAGAACTACTCACACAACCAAATAAATGTAAGAGACTATAGAAGACCCTGAGAACAATGAAGTTGAACGAAAGCTTGAGACTGAATAAACAAAGGAACTAAGATAAATGGCTTTAGCAAAAAGAAAACTGTGGCAGGCAGTGATTTTACAATTCTTGACATATGAAGAATTATTCCCAGATGTTCTCCATTTCCCCTGAGGGAAGATAGGACATATAGACTTTAAGTTGCAGCATAAGAAATTTAGATTAAAATATAATCAAAGTTTGCTGACATATAGTGTTGTTAAATATTAAAATTAATTGCTAAACAACTTCTACAACCTCTTCTTTGAGCATCTGCCTCAAAAATTAAAGTAAATTAGAAACTCTTATGGTTCTAAACAAATACCATGGCTACTCAGCCATGAGAAAAAATGAAATACTGCCATTTGCAACCACATGGATAGACCTTGAGAATATTACTCTAAGCAAAATAAGTCAGTCAGAAATAGCTAAGTACCATACAATTTAACTTACATGTGGGGTATAAAACTGAAACTCATAGACAAAGGTAATCAGAGGAAAGAGGGCTGTGAGATAGTAAATGGTTAAAAGGGCCAAATATATGGAAACAGAAGATAATTTTACTTTGGGTAGCAGGCACACAATGCAATATACAGATGAAATCTCTATGATCTTATTAACCAAGCCTGGTGCACAAAATTCGTGCATGGGTAGGGTCCCTAGGACTAGCCAGCAATCAGGGTCAGTCGGGGCTTTCCATCTTTGGCTGGGGCCTTCCTTCGTTCCATGCCGCCCCTGGTGGTCAGCGCATGTCATAGCGAGCTATCAAACTGGGGGTGGGGTAGGGATGGGGTTAGGAGTGGGCTGGCAGTCTGTATTTTAGCTGAGCTTCAGGGTGATCCTGGTGTACAATGAAGACTGAGAACTACACAACCAAAAAGTAAATGTAAGAGAAGACCCTGAGAACAATGAAGTCGAACTCCCGAAGTGACACTTTGCTTATTAGCCTTTTATATATATAAATAAGATCACTTAAAACTTATATGATCTTATTAACCAATATTTACCTCAATATATTTAATTAAAAATAAGAAATTTGGCCCAGAAAAAAATATTGCATAAGTGAACTGGTATTTAGAAATGTGACAAATACGTTGTTATACAATACATCTATTGCATAAGTGAACTGGTATTTAGAAATGTGACAAATACGTTGTTATACAATAAGTCTTTCAAATTACCTAAAATTTTAAATATCTCTGTGCAATAACTACTTTAAACATGTTAGTGTTTAAATAAGAATACATAATCAAACACAAAACATACACATTGAAAATATTTATTTAAATTAAGGATAATAATGTTCCTTAATAGTTCAAAAAGTGACCAATATCACATAGACCAATCGCATATGACCAAAAAGCACACAGAAATGAGACTTGTTTGGCTCAATGGATAGAGCGTCGGCTTGGGGACTGAAGGGTCCTGGGTTTGATTCCGGTCAAGGGCATGTACCTTGGTTGTGGGCATATCCCCAGTAGGGGGTGTGCAAGAGGCAGCTGATCGATGACTCTCTCTCATCGATGTTTCTAACTCTCTATCTCTCTCCCTTTCTCTCTGTACAAAATCAATAAAATAAAAAAAAATTTAAAAAAAAGCACAGAAAATTCAAGTGACACAATTTACAGGCATTTTCAAATAAAAAAAAGAAATTAAATAGAAATGAATGGATAAGATATCTAAAAACTGTATCCTCGTATTTTAAAAAGATTACTTAAAATAACTATAACACAAATATATACATTTTCACATATTTAAAATGCAAAATGATAGAAATAACCAAAGCATGGCTTTGCCAAATTACTCCTAATAGTCTCTTACATTCATATACTTATATATTAATAAGTTCATTATATAAACATAACATTAATAAGTTCATTATATAAACATTATATAAAAATAAAAAGGTATTAAAAGGTCCTTTTCCTAAACTCTGATAATATCTAGCAAGTCTCAATCAAATGTGCCATTGTTATAATTCTTAAAACAAAAATTTATTTTTAATATTTAAAAGATATCAAAAGGTTAAAAGTTTAAGTCCTAAAATTTTCCATATGCATAGGAAATCACTGTAATGATGACTCTGTGACCTGTTTGCCTCCGAAATATTTTGCAGTTGTAGTTTCTACTGATAAGACCTAACTCTAGTAATTAGTGGATTTTCATAGTTATGGCAGTTAGCATAATGTAGGAAGTCAACGTTTTGTTTTACCTTTTCTACCTTTCCACCGTTGATGTCACTAGGGAGGAATTTCTTGCCAATTGTTCTCAAGTCTGTCTAAAATAAAAATATTATTATTAAAATATAATTATAAAAAATAGATCTAATCTCAATCACAAATAAAAGATGAAATTAAGGTTTGTGGAGAAAATTTTAAATAAATGTCTGTTAGCTGATTATGATTTCTATACATGTAATCAATATTTTCAAATAACACAGTTCCATATATACGCTATTTAAAATGCACCAGTAGGATGAACATTAATATATAAATAGCCTTAACTTGGGTCATCTCTTTAGATAATCTTTTAACTTACTAAATTTTCTCTATTGAATTCTAAAACTTTATTTTATATAAACTATATTATACCCATACTAAAAAACTAATGCCACAATCCAAAACTAAATAAATTCATAAAAAGTGACATTCTTGACAATTAAATTTGATATAACCTTAATAAGCAGATACATAAAAACACATTATCCTATAGCACCCATAACATAACAAAGCTATATAACCTAAAAATATGCCAGAGAACAATTTCACTGCAACAGCAAGGAGTTATAGACTTTCCATAATAAAGAAGTATTTAATTTGCTTAAAAAATTATAAAAACTGAAATTGGCAAATAAATAGCTAACTGTGTGAAAATGTAGAAATATATATTACTCAGCAAACCTCAAAGCAAACATAAAAAGTTATCACATTTCTGACATAAAAACAGCACTTCAACTACACAGTCTACATAAAAAGCAGAACTTTTAAGAATTTTTGTCTACTTCAGGAAGTAAAAACAAAAGAAATTTGTTCAGGGTTTGAGCATCGACCCATGAACCAGGAGGTCAGGTTCGATTCCCAGGCGGGTCACATGCCCAGGTTGCAGGCTTGATCCTCAGTGTGAAGCATGCAGTAGGCAGCGGATCCAGGATTCTCTCTCATCCTTGATGTTTCTCTCTTCCTCTCCCTTTCTCTCTCTCTAAAATCAATAAAGTATATATTTTAAAATTTTTGTTCAGATGACTGAGAGCTTGAGGTTAGATTAATAAATCTGTATTGTTTACTCTTCCTTCAAGTATAGAAATTGGTAGCTCTTCATTACCTTAAGAGCAAAATGAAGAAAAACAGACTTAGAGTGCCTTTAACCACATAAATTATAACTGAATATTTTGTTAAAGATAAGAAGAAAGTTCTAGGTGATTAAACTTACTATAACGAACCCTAACTGGTTTGGTTCAGTCGTTTGTTCAGTCATTTTGGATGTTACAGACCCTGGCTCATTATATATACACACACACACACACACACACACACACACACACACACACACACATATATACACAGATATATATATATATATATATATATATATATATATATATACACACACACACACACACACACACACACACACACACACACACACACACTAGAGGCACAGAACATGAAATTTGTGTATGGGGGGAATGCTCCTCACCCAGCCTGTACCCTCTCCAATCTGGGATCCTCAAGGGATGTCTGACTACCCATTTAGGCCCGATCCCACTGGAGGTGAGCAGTTGGAAGCCAGCTGTCCTGGATTGTGTCCCTCTCACAATCCAGGACAGCTGGCTTCCAACTGCTCACCTTCCTGCCTGCCTGATTGTCCCTAACCACTTCTGCCTGACAACCTGATCTCCCCCTAAACACTCCTCTGCCAACCTGATCAATGCCTAACTGCTCCTCTGCCAGCCCAATTGCCCCTAATTGCCCTCCCCTGAAGGCCTAGTCCCCTCCAACTGCCCTCCTCAGCTGGCCTGGTCAACCCTAACTGACCTCCCCTATTGGCCTGGTCGCCCCCAACTGCCCTCCCCTGCAGGCCATCTTGTGTCCACATGGGGCAGCCATCTTTGTGTGTTGGAGTGATGGTCAATTTGCATATTACCTCTTTATATAGGAGGATATGCTTATGTGGCTAGCTTAAGAAAGAAGTATATGTTATACAATCCCCACAGCTCTTTCCAGTCTTTTACTACCATGGTTCATAATTTACTTCTCAATATAATGCAGGGATCACTCCTAAACTAAATCTCACAGAATGGAACTGCCTAGCAAACTAAGCCCCAAATTCAAATATTTGTGAAACAAAGCTTTAGGCCAATCCTTTTTGCAGCCTCCACCCAATAGCAGTAAAAGAATTATAAGCCTTTGCCGAGACCGGTTTGGCTCGGTGGATAGAGCGTCGGATTGGGGACTGAAGGGTCCCAGGTTCGATTCCGGTCAAGGGCATGTACCTTGGTTGCGGGCATATCCCCAGTGGGGGGTGTGCAGGGGGCAGCTGATAGATGACTCTCATCAATGTTTCTGGCTCTCTCTCCCTTCCTCTCTGTACAAAATCAATAAAAATATATTTTTTAAAAAAAAGAATTATAAGCCTTTCACTCTGAATATACTAAGTAACATAAAGGGGGGAAAGCACTTTCTTATACCCCCTTCCCTATATTAGTATTGTTTTGAGGATTAAATCTTAATATACGTGAAGCACTTGACACAATAACTTGCAAAGAATAAGCATTTAATTAATGTTAGCTATCATGTTTATTTTAGTGAATTTAAAACAGTTGAGTGAATGTACATTTTATCATCTGAAAATTTATATTAAGTCAATAATACAACTAACAGTTTATAAAAGCATATGTGTTATTTTGAAGTCACTCAAAAGGCTGAAATATTTAAATATATATACACAAGAAAAAGAATATATACAAATTTTATGAAACACCATGGTCCCTCATTTCTGTTATTTGTCAATAATTATGAAGCTAAACTAAATGAGCTATCAATATAAAGTAGAAATGAGCAATAAACTAAAATTCTAAACTTCAATTCACTGAAAACTATAATTAATATGATCTTAGATACTGTCACAAAATTCTCTAAATCCAGTTAATTTATTCCTTTATAAAATGGGATGCCAGGCTAAAAGACAATGTATTCTAAGTTTATATAACTTTCAAAGTGCTATACATACAAAAAATTAATATTATTTCATTTTTTTAGCAAAATAAAAATGACCTACCAAATCTTTCAACATCCTAAATTCCAATTCAATTTATAATACAAAGACAATTTGATGATTCAATATTATTATATTAAAATCACTAGGACATATAGATGCAAAAATACACTTATATAAAAAAAATTATGCACAAGTATTTAGCTTTTAAATGCATGTTCATGTGGCATACACACAAGATCCCTAACTATCCAAGTTGAGTGAAACAGAATGCTTATTTGGCAAGCCATTTTATATAATACAGCATCTTAAAAGGAAAAAAAAAAGTCTGCTTTTAAATGTTTACTAATACATAGTATTCAGTAATTTAAGACTGGGCTAGACTTAATTTTTTTTCTGAATAATACAGGTATTTAAAACCAAAACTACATGTTATATTCAATATCATTTCTTAATATTCTTATTCCCCATTCCACAAAGTAAAAAATTAAGAACCTTCTCTTTCAACATAAAACTCTGCACAGAAAATAGTACTTAGCAGACCTGAGGCTCCCGTTTCACCAGGTTTCCTAGACCAGTGGTCGGCAATCTCATTAGTCAAGAGAGCGACAAACCACGGCTTTCAAGCCACATGTGGTTCTCGAGCTGCAGTTTGCCGACCGCTGTCCTAGACTATTTGTATAAATAAAATGATTTACGGTGAATACCTGCTTTTGGGGGGAAATTGTATGGGGGTAGAATCTAGAATTTTGTTTCATGTTAGGCAGAGAATACCTTCATGAGAAGTCTAGTAAAAACCTTGGGGACTAGTCTCTAATGGATTTCTCTGGGTAAAAACACTGTACTATACATGTTATTGCATTGTTCATTGCTGGTTAAAGGAACCAACTCAGCAGCTGGTTATAGCATCGTCCAAATACTCCAAGTTTGTGAGCTTGATCCTGTCAGAGCACATACAAGAAGTAACCAATGAATGAATAAATAAGTGGAACAATAAATTCATGTTTCTCCCTCTCCTCCTCCCTTCCTCTCTCTCTCTAAAATCAATTTTTTTCTACATTAAAAAAAAATAGCTCAGTGTGCGCCCCACAAGAGGAAGAGAACAAAATAAAATTGTTCATGGATTATTATCACCATATGTAATAAGTTATTTCTCAATGAGTAAACAAAGGTTGAAAAAAAAAAAAAAAGCCGAAACCGGTTTGGCTCAGGGGATAGAACATCGGCCTGCAGACTGAAATGTCCCAGGTTCTAACTCTCTATCCTTCTCTCTTCCTCTGTAAAAAAAATCAATAAAATACATTTTTTTTAAAAAGTTGAAAAAAAATTCAAAAGAACTACTGTAAATGCCTGATTTTATTAAAAATAAATAAATAAACTTGAGAAGTACATTATTTGATGTAGACTTGATTTTGATTAAAAGGTTTTTTTCCCCTGCCCTAGCTGGTTTGGCTCAGTGGATAGAGTGCTGACCTGTGGACTGAAGGGTCCAGGGTTTGATTCTGGTCAAGGGCACATGCACGAGATATGGGCTCAGATTCCCAGTAGGGGGCATGCAGGAGGTAGCCAATCAATTATTCTCTCTCATCATTAACGTTTCTCTCACTCTTCCTCTCTAAAATCAATAAAAATGTATTTTCTTAAAAAGATGTTTTTTTCCTGTTATATGGTATGATAACTTAGGTAGTAGTATTTGACTACATACTAAAATTTCAGAGAAAATTACAAAGACAATTAATTCATTAAAATAATGGTCAGCCAAAACCGGTTTGGCTCAGTGTATGGAGCGTCGGGCCTGCGGACTGAAAGGTCCCGGGTTCGATTCCGGTCAAGGGCATGTACCTTGGTTGCCAGCACATCCCCAGTAGGGGTTGTGCAAGAGGCAGCTGATCGATGATTCTCTCTCATCCATGTTTCTAAGTCTCTATACCTCTCTCTTCCTCTCTGTAAAAAGTCAATAAAATATATTTTAAAATAAAATAAAATAATGGTCATTGTGGACTTCTCATGTGCACAGAACTAATACCATATTGACCTATTTCATTTAAAGTTTCACACCAAATTATGAATAGTTCATTGCTATAATAATCATAACTGTCAAAGAGCTACAACCCAACCAGTGTTTCTATGTTAATTAAATGGTTATTTGTTTCAATGAATAAGATCAGTTTTTATTGCTATTATACAGATAATGTAAAGGTTATGAAATTCTATAACTAAACACTGGGTTTTAAAAAAGAAGTTTTTATTGCATTTTTTTCCTTTTATTGGATTCCATATAAGATATTAAAAGATAATTCCAATAATTTGCCTATATGAGATTAACAAATTTAAGAAGTATCACTGTAACTAAAAATGGACAATAAAAGTAAAAGATGTATTTATTACTCCATATCGCTTATAAAATCCATTTTATTCTATGCAATATTTTCCCTGAATATTAAAAAAAGTTAATAGAGAAAACCTACATTGAGAGCAATCAAGACGATGTCATTTAGATTGACTTTATCAGGAGAACTTGTGCAAGCTTCAATGCCTTCATCTGAAAGATACCTGTTAAGATAAAAATAAATGACTTAATATTTTCTAAAAATTGAAATTAACCAAATTATTTTTTTAAGTTAGCATGCAATTTTGTTCTCTACTATGAAATGCTTTTACATTTCATAAATACTAGGGAAGGAGTCCTAGATATTCCCTGTTTATTCAGTATGTCGGATACAACAGAGTGGATAGTGTAGATTTTCCCTCTTTTGTATCCTTGAAAGGATAGTGTGTTTATATAATTAAACATCAATATACTTAAGTAATGTATAAGCTACTCTTTACTATTATACAAATATAATATCTGATTTAAAAATTTGGTATTATGGTAAGCTCTTAGCAATTGGGATGCACTGTAAAAATAGAGCTAAAAACAACATAGTTTTAAATTAAATTCAACAGAAATTTCCTGTGCTACATTCTCACATTATCTTCTCAAGTCCACTTTCTTTGCCATAATGTTCCCAACAACCCTTCATCTACTGACTCCAAGTGGCACAAAGATAGGCAAATTAGGCAATTTTACCTTATATCTTTTACTTTCCCTGTTTCTTTTCAGTTGTTTTACTCTTTGTCTTATTGCCCTTTGTTCTTTTATCTAGTCCAAACCAACTATGCATCTGTTGCAGGCAATGATTAATTCAAAATTACTGAATCTGAGGGAAGGAGATCATTTCTACTCATTCATTTATGCCCACTTTGAAATTCTTTGACAAATTCTATAACCCAGTTTTCATCTCCCCAAAAGTTCACTTATAAAAATGCCCATTAGCATCTGACATATTCTGTAATCCATATCAACTCCTTTAACAAAAGGGCTAGTAAGAGCTAGCACTGCCACGGCGGGTATTTTCCCATTATAAAGATAGAGGAGTACTAGTCTGACAGCTAATTCAAGCTCAGTCCTCATGACCAGCAATTCAACCCCCAATATTAGACTGATTCTAAGACATTGTAAATATAAACTTTATTTGGAGACAGCAACCAAAGGGTATATGCCTTTAGGAAACAAGAATGAATAAATTCTCTAAAGGAAAAGAGCCAAGTGTAATGAAATGTAAATTGAAGAGTGTAAAAGAACAACAGAAGATTAAAGTGGATAAGCCTATGAACAAGATCAAGGAGATAAAGCCTGGAAAGTATAGAAATAAAACAAAGCTAGATTGTGTTAACAAAATTAGATATTAAGTTTAAGACCAAAGCTGTGCTAAACTACAATGATGAATGAAGGCAAGTAGTTAAGTAGATTACAGAGAGTAAAAAAAATAGAAGTGTTAAGTATGTAGATAAGCCTATAAGAAAAAATGAATGGGAGGCATTTATAATAGAACATAAGTGACCATGGAATACAAATGATTGCAGTCAGCATAGATGGTTAAAACACTACTTTAATTCAAAATGACTAAGTTAATTTTCTTGTTATCCTGTTAGTTTTTCACTGTTTATAGCTATTGACTTCATCTGTTGTTAATCATCTTATAAATTCAGTTCTACAAATATCAATTAACTAGTGGCCCAGTGCACAAAATTGTACGGGGGGGAGGGGGAGAAGGGTGAGGGGGGTAAGGGGAGAAGACATGTCCCTCAGCCTGGGTTTACACCCTCTTCAATATGGGACCCTTAGGTGAATGTTGGCCTTCACTAAATCCCCTGCCAGCCTGGTTGCCCCATGCAGCCTGTTCGGTTATTTGTTCAGTTGTTTGAATTGTGACAGTCATTTAGGCTTTTATATATATATACTAGAGGCCCGATGCATGAAGATTCGAGCAAGAATGGGCCTTCCTTCCTCTGGCTGTTGGCACCACCTTCGCTCTGTCTGAAGCCACCTTTCTGCTCCAGCCTGGAGCCTCCTTTCCACATTCTCATGCTGCCTAGAGGTCCAGAGCAGCTGGGGTGGCGCGGAAAGCTTGCATCCTGCCTGCCCCAGCTGCTGGGCACCTGCATATGCAAACTAACCCACCATCTTTGTTGGGTTAATTTGTATACTAATTCCTGATTGGCTGGTGGGTATCAAGAAGATACAGTCAATTAGAATGTTATAGTCAATTAGCATGTTACTCTTTTAGTGTAGATATAGCTAGATATAGATAACTATAAGTGCTAATACAAGGAATATGAGCTTCTCATAAACAGAAGCCAACATCTATGCAAATCAGCTTCCTAATCAACTAGGCACTTCAACACACACAAAGCACAATTAGGCAAATTCAATCAGTGAGCTCCAAATTATATTAAAGAAGAATAAGTCTAGTTTCATAGTAAAAGATCAAGGAACTAATATTAATAGAAATTCAAATATTGTTACAACAATAAAAATACCTTGGAGGATCCAAGATGGTGGCACAGGTAAACACCTAAACTGCTGCCTGGCACAACAATTTCAAAACTACAACTAAAAGACAAAACATCTATCACCCAGAACCATGAGAAAGCTGGCTGAGTGGAAGTTCTACAACTAGAAAGAAAGAGAAAAGAGCATTCAGTGGACAAGCACTGAAAAGCTGAGGAACTGCTGAAACTAGTTTGGCTCAGTGGATAGAGAGTTGGCCTGTGGGCTGAAGGGTCTCGGGTTCGATTCTAGTCAAGGGCCTGTACCTCAGTTGCAGACACATTCCCAGTGGGGGGTGTACAGGAGGTAGCTGATTGATGTTTCTCTCTCATCAATGTCTAACTCTCTATCCCTCTCTCTTCCTCTCTGTAAAAAAAAATCAATAAAATATACTTTTTTTTTAAAAAGAAAAGAAAAAAGAAAAAAAGAAAGAAAAGCTGAGTACTGAGGCCCGCACAATCCGGGCTGGCAGTGGGCATTGCTTTCTTCAACCCGAAGGGAGACAAGCTCCCGATTTCTTTGAAATCCAGTTTCTGGGGAGACATGGGGGACCCAAACTCCTACAGGAAGAAGCTGGACTGTCTGCTATCCGGTCAGAAAGTGAGGGTGGCTTGCTAGCAGAGCTTCGCGCAGGAATACTTGCTTGCTCCGCTGGGGCGCAGGACACGGGACGGGGTTGGAGGCAGGGATGGCTGGCTGCCAGCCATTACTGTTTGCCACACCCTAGCCTGGTGATGTCCTGAGACCCCACCCCACACAACCTATAAACCCACCCAAGCTCCAAGCAGTGGTTTTTGCATATGAATGGCCTTCCCTATCGCAGCTTAACTTAGCAAACTTGCAACCTAGTTCAGACAGCTCCAAAGCCTACAAACTCCAAGCAAAGAGGAGAAAACTGTAGTTCTCGCTATAGCTCCAGACAGTAACTAACCTGCACCCTATTGGAGATCCAGAAGCCAGTGTACCTAGTGGTCAGTGTGAGACACCAGATTTTAACTCCTCACATCCATAAGTGGCACATTCAAGAGGCAGACTCAGTGAACACCAAAGCCCCACTGAAACAAGTCCTGCACCATAAGTGTGTCTCCAGTGCAGCAGGTCTTCCACACCAGGTCCTCATAGCCAATTGGTCTGGAGGTCAATTCCACCCAGTGTACCAACAGCAATCCCCATTAAAATACCAACAAATTATTTCACGAACCTAGAACCAATTCTCCAAAAATTCATATGGAATAAAAAAAGACCCCAGATAGCCGCAGCAATCTTGAGACAGAAGAAGAAAGCTGGAAGGATCATAATAACAGATATCAAGCTATATTACAAAGCCATTATAACCAAAACTGCCTGATACTGACACAAGAATGGAATTGAACAGAGAACCCAGAAATAGACCCAAGCCACTATGCTCAATTAATATTTGACAAAGGAGACAAGAGCATACAATGGAGTCAAGTCAATCTCTTCAATAAATGATATTGGGAAAACTGGACAGATACATGCAAAAAATGAAACTTGACCACCAACTTATACCATACATAAAAATAAACTCAAAATGAATGAAGGACTTAAACATAAGAGGGGAAACCATAAAAATCTTAGAAGACATAGGCAGCAAAATAGCAAACATATGTCATAGCAATATCTTTACCAATACAGCTGCTAGGGCAATGAAAACTAAGGAGAAAATAAACTAATGGAACTACATCAAAATAAAAAGCTTCTGCACAATGAAAGAAACCATCAACAAAACAACAGGACCACTGCATGGGAAAACACATTTGCCAATGTTATCTCTGAAGAGGGTTTAATCTCTAAAACTTACAGGGAACTCATACAACTTAACAAAAGGAAGATAAACAATCCAATAAAAAATAAAAAAAGGCAAAAGACCTAAAAAGGACCAAAGAGGACATACAAAAGGCGGAGAGACATATGAAAACATGCTCAATGTCACTAATCATCTGAGAGATGCAAATCAAAACAATGAGGTACCAACTCACACCTGTCAGAATGGTTTATCATCAACAAATTAACAAATGACAAGTGGTTGCAGGGATGTGGAGAAAAAAGAACTCTCATGCACTGCTGATGGGATTGCAGACTGGTGCAGCCACTGTGGAAAACAGTATTGAATTTCCTCAAAAAATTAAAAATGGAATTGCCAATATTCTCAGTAATCCCACTTCTAGGACTATATTCCAAAAAATCAGAAATACCAACCAGAAAGGATATATGCACCCCTATGCTCATAGTAGCACAATTACAATAGCTAAGATTTGGAAACAGTCTAAATCCCCATCAGCAGATGAATGGATTAAAAAACAGTGGTACATCTACACAATGGAATAATATGTTCCTGTAAAAAAGAAAGAATGCTTACCATTTGCAACAGCATGGATGTAACTGAAGATCATTATGCTAAGCAAAATAAGCCAGTCAGAGAAAGATAAATATCACATGATCTCACTCATTTGTGGAATATAATGAATAACATAAATTACGTAATGAACAAAAATAGATCCAAATACAGAGCAGAGAAGCAGTGAACAGACCATACAATTTAAGGGGGAAGGGGAGGGAGGGTTAAAAGATCAACCAAAGGACTTGTTTGCATGCATATAAGCATAACTAATGGAAACGGACACTAGGGGGTTGAAGGAATGTTCTGGGGGATAAGGGA